ATATTATTTAAATAATTTAAAATATTTATATTAAGTCTGTTATAACTATATGTTCAATATATATTAATAAAATATAATAATTATATATTAATAATATAATTAAGTCTATAACTAATTTTAACCAGGAGTGATTTCATCTAGGTGATGTCACCTATATATTTAATTTGATAGTCTATCAAATTAAATTATTTTTATTAACTTTTTTTTTTTTTTTTACATCTAATCGTATTCTCTTTCTCTATATCAAAATACACTTTTTCGAATACAACTAACCATTATTTTTCAACACCTAGCTACCAAAGTTCATGTGCTATTTATTTACCATAAAGCCCAAGAAGTTCCATTACACTTCATCAGTTCCTACGGATCAAACATCGAATACATCATCATCATCGTCTTATTTTAATACCTATAATCATGATCAAATAGATAGCTCATCGCCCTCTCACTTTAACATCTACGAACAGAATATTACACCTGATTTTTTGTCACCTTGTTTTAATACATACGAACTCGCCTTACCTTATTATAGCTATAAACATAATATTGTAAATATTTTGTCATTTTATCTAAATGCCTATAAGTACTATGATAATGTAAATACTTCGTTGTCACCTTACCTGGCCCTATGGATATGATAGTACTATGTTAACCTATATTAATTTTCAAAGCTCTAGTGATTCGTTGACTGAATCAGATGTTAAGGCTCAACCAGAAGGTGCAGATAATGGGATTTATGATGAGAAGAAAAATAATAAGCACGAAGATAGTGAAAATGAGAAGGAAGGAAAAAATAATTTATTAGTACTATGTAAAAGAATGAAGTTTAGTATATGGGAACTTGCCGAATTATACCTTACCTCTAGGAGTGCTAACCAATTATCAACTAATACAGCATCATAGCATATTGACTGGGCCATTTGATCTTATTGTTTCTGAAGTATTTGCGACATGAGATGTTCTTTCAACATTGTATCCAACTCAGGGAAGTATTCGTCCATTATAGTTGGTATACCTTTTGTTGATATTTCATTTTTGCACTCAGCTAATACTGCCTTTTTTG